TCTTGCTAATTGCTCCAAAACAGTACAGCGTAACATATAAAGATAGCAGAAGCTCCCAAATTGAATCAGCAACCAGAATTAATGATTTACTTCTTATATTACTCAATGTGTAGTTTCGATAAGAGAGGATCGCAAGGCAGCTTTTATGAAGATAGAACTAATCTGAAGAGATCTTCGAGTAATTAATCCTTGCTTCAACTACTTCAAACATTTCTCATTCCAATTATCTTCACCGCTAATGAGAAGAAGCTCTTATAGATCAAAGATCCATTTCTCCCATTGAATAGTAGTTCCAAGACCTAGCGCTCAACGGTGGGAGTGAACATTTCAGAAACCAGGTGTCGTCTGTAAAAAGCAAGCTAGTATCGTATTTTGAGGGACGCTCTTTCCTTTGTTCTCATATCAAGAATATCGACTCAGTCAATCAATCAATTTTCTGGTAAACTGGTTTACTTACCTACTTAGATACTTAAATGGCCCGTCCTCATGTGACGTGCGGGCCCCAGTACAGAAGTTGCCATTGATCCCTATCCCTCGCTGCGGACATCCACGATCTTCTTGATCGTCGTCGGTGGCTGCGTCCACGAGTTCCAGGGGCGAGAATCGTATCCAGCTGATTTCTCAGCTGGTCCATTCGTTCCACGAACACGTCTGCCCATCTCGTCGGTGGTCTTCCTCGAGGACGTTTGGCTTCGCGAGGAATCCACTCAGATGTTCATAGTGTCCATCTATCGTCCGTCCTTCTCATTATGTGACCAGCCCATCGGTGTTTCGCTTTCGCAACGTATTCCCCTGGGTCACGAAGACGGGACATTCTTGTCATATCCGTGCTGCGAAGTCCGACTAGATGTTGCTTGTGTCGGGTCATCTTCAGAAGACTGCGCTCAAGCACTCTGCGGGTGGTCCTTAAAGCTTTCGACGTGGCTACGGTGTCGGCCCAGTCTCAGCTGCGTAGAGAGCGCTGGGAGAACGGTTGAGTCGAACAGGTGGGCACGAAGCTCCGTGTACGTCAGTTGGTCGGTGGCTTCCTTCAGAGGCCCGAAGGCGGTCCAGACTGCTTTCTTCTCCTGTTAAGTTCTTCCCTCAAGTCGTTCTCCATGTTCATTGAACGTCCGAGATACGCGTAAGAAGACGTCTCCATGATAGGGGTGCCTTCTAATTCCATTTCTGCATCTTCGCAAAGGGCGTTCTTCATGAACTGAGTCTTCTTCCGATTTATTCGCAGTCCGATCTTCTTCCCTACTTCGTTTAGTTCCTTCAGCATCGCCTTTGCTTCAGTGATACTGCTCGAGAAAAGGAGGATGTCATCCGCAAAACGAAGGTTGGATAGGAATCTCCCATCAGCTCGTATGCCTCTCTCTCTTCCCAGTCTAGTGACTTCATCACCCATTGCAAGGCCGCGGTGAACAGCTTTGGCGAAACAGTGTCACCTTGTCGGACCCTCTTCCCAATTGGAATGGTCAGGGGGCGATGGAATAGTCGCATCGTTGTTGTTCAGTCCTTGTAGCAGTCGGCTAGTGTCCTCATGTGAGCTGGTTCCACTCCTTGATCGACTAGCGCAGACAGGATGGCGTTGGTTTCGACGCTCTCAAAGGCTTTCTCGTAGTCAACGAAGGTTAGGACGAGAGGCAGTCGGTACTCCCGGCAGACTTCTATGACCCTCGAAACCGTCTGGATGTGGTCCATACAGCTGAATCCTTTGCAAAATCCAGCTTGTTCTTGGGGTTGGGCTTCATCCGGTGTCCTAGATATGCGTGCGAGGATAATCATCGTGAAGAGCTTGTACAGCACACTCAGCAGGCAAATTGGACGGTAATTTCGAAGATCTTCCTGTTCACCTTTCTTAAAAAGAAGGACGGTTCTTGACGTTTTCCACTGGTCGGGAATCCACTCCTTTTGAAGGTAAGATGTCAGGTGCGACGCGAGAATCTTGTGTAGACGTTGTCCTCTGGCTCGCAGAAATTTGAGGGAAAGATGGTCTGGTCCTGGAGCCGTGGATGTTTTCATGGTCTGAACCGCCGTGCGCAAATTCGTGGTGGTACTTCTCCAGTGGGAACAACGGGCATCGGCACGGGTGTTGATGAGCGGAAGAGGTTGGTATAGAAGTTCTTCGCGATAGATTCCATCTTGTATCGGGAAGAAGTCGGAGTCCCGTCTTCGTTCAATAGTGCAGCCAGCAGTACGCGATATTCACAGAGGTCCCTTCGGCACTTCTTGAGACTTCGTCTTCCTTCGGCTGCTTCTATCTTGGCTTGCCTGTACTTCTCAAAAATGCGGCAATACATTTATTACTGTCGCGGTTTGTTGGGCTCAGCAACCGCTAGCCATGCTTGACTGCCCTAACCATTCCGAACCTGAGGGTGTAGCGCGTCCGGTAATCGCAGTTGTTTTGTTGAGGTGACTGCTATTCGGCGCTTCCACTCGACACGATCTCCTCAACATAAGATCCCACCATATGCATCACGGGCAACTGATTTCTTACAAAGGAAGGATACTCGATCGCAATGACGATTGGGTAAGCGATGTATACCGCATATACCGTCCCTAGAAGGTGCTCTCTAAACCGCACTCCATACCTGCTATGACGTCATTCTGGAAGAGCTATGAAGGATTTTCGGTGCTGCAGGCGCATTCAAGTACTAGACTTCCCTCATTTCTGCTATGGTTGATTGGTGCGGTGTATAGTGACTTGAACTGTTGAGCTGGATGTCGTGGGTTTGATTCCCCTCGAATGCTGACGGTTTTGGTTCTTGCAAAATCTTTTGTAGCTCTTCCAGGAAAACGTCAAACCAGGTATGGAGTCCGTCTGGGGTCGTATAAGTGGTATACACTGCTTACCCAATCGTCATTGCGATCGAGTATCCTTCCCTTGTTAGAATTAATATTGAACAACTTATACAAAAAGTTACAATAGGACTACTATATTATGAAAATTCTAAACTAGGCTGGAGTACAAAGAAATCAAGCATTGAACAAACCGCGTGTCTCTGTCGATGTACCACAGGCTCAATCATTTTAAGTCTGGGTTCCTCTATCAGGGTCTGCCACTAGAAGCCCAGGGCCAAACTGAACGGCGCGACAGCTTAGCTCCATTCCCGCTTTGTTGAACATCTTACTAACACAAGAACCCTTCCTGAGCTCCCTCCTTAGATAAAAACATCCAAAAGCTCGACCGCTCAACATCAAAAACCTTTTCTGCGGGTTGCTGAAAACTGAGCCAAGGGTGATAACAGGGGTGTATGCCCTTCTAAACCGCTTCGTCCTAGCGATAATTACTCTGCCAGGCGGCGCTAACCTACTCCGCCTTTCTTATAATATATCAGAGTTTTCAAATATTTCCGAGCATTCTAAAGCAAGCGAGGCACACGTATAATGATAGTGACGATGTTTGAGTTAAGAAGACAAAAAGTTGAAAAAGTTGCATGTTTTTTACTGGCCTTTCGTGATTTCTTCGCCCTTCCCACTTTTCAAAACACCATTAAGTCTGCACGTGTAAGCTGAAGAATTCATCTAAGCCGCCCAAGCATAATACAACATTTTTGAGTTTTACGGGAAACTCGAAATTTTGTTTAATTTTTTTATCATTAGAATGCCTTTGCAGTTCAATTCGAACGTCTCTAACGACAGCATGGCTCTCGCCTACCCAAGCGCCGCGGCAGCGCCGACCAATCAGAGGCGCGCAGTAATTAGGCTGCTAATGCTAGCGGTTCAGAAGGGCCGTCTCGTGATAACAGTAGTGAACATAGAAACGAAAGTCAATGAGACAAAGACCGCTCGCACGCGCAGCCTTAATTATCCTGCCACTGGTCGCGTTCCCAGCCGGAGTGATCCTGGAGCGACTACAAAAGGCGCAATCAAACTATTGCGACTAGATTAGACATTGACTAGATAACCCTATGCCTGAGCTACTTTTTATCATCACGTATGACCATTCATTCCCCGATCATTTTGTTACATTTTTATTGACAAAAACAAGACCGTGATATAAAAAACAAGGCATGTTCGAAACCTTGGAAAATATCGAAGCAGTTGATTAATCCGTGGTTACTACTCACATTATACAGACTTTTGTGGAGGCAGATTGCCATGTTTTTCTCGAATAGTTCACACTATATCTTGCACACCACAGCATGTAAAACTAAAACGTAAAAGGTGAATAAAAGCTCTTAGAGCTCGTTTGTTAATTGAATTTGGCGCTATCCATTAGGCGGTCTGCTCGGTCTCCATTGCTGGCTATTGAGGCTCCGAAGAAGGAGTTATACTCAGAAACGTTAACCGAGAAATAAAGATCGATACCAATCTTGGCCACTGCTCAAATATCAGACCAAAGGGTGAACAAAAAGTTGAATGTTGCCAAATCGGGGAGACTAGCAGATGTGAAGTAGAAGTAGAACACTAGGTTTCATTGTAGAGTGAGATGAAGCGGGTTCACGAGATTGATTTTTTTCTTTTTAGACTCATGATTAATCGACGCCTCTGCTCCACATCTTCTGGTTAATGGAATCATGCTTCCGCTAAACCAGCTGTGAATTCTGTGTAAGAGCAGAGATTTAAATATGTTTTATTGGCTTGACGAGATTTTAGGCGCTGTCCTGCAGAGGAAAACAATTTTCCTGAGGGCGGTGAATCAGCATACTTTGGTGTGAAATTTGAAAAAAAGGGGAAAAAGCTACAAGGACTGTGATAAAAAAGCGACATATTTTCTAAATATGCTTCAAAACATTTTACTGCGAATCTAAATAATCTGCGAATCTTGATCTAAATAAATTGTGACGATTATATGTAAATAGATCCTTAAGCCTGTAAAGATGGAAAGAAGTGGACATTTTGTTCTATTGAGATGCTTTGGGCCAAAATTGAGCTTCTACCATGGTAGACCGAAATAGAGAATACCGGAAAGTATATGAGCAACATCATCTAAGACTGCTGTAATCAACTTGATAATGATAAACCTCGCCTATATAAGAGTTGTAAGTGCCTTAAACGTCAGTTTGATACTAGTTCATTTCAATGTGCGGTACACCAGATCCGCAGTGATTGATGGATTTCTACCGAGATCTATCTCTCCTCTCTGAGACTGTGCCATCAAAAGTACGGATTTGTGCTATAGCCGCCATATTTCTACTCACCTTTTTCGCCCTAGGGTTACGTAAGTGCTCTTTTGTCCATGTAGAACTGCTAACGATCTCTCGTTCAGCATTGTTGATCACTCCACTATCCGATCTTGGTGAAATTGACGAAGACTGCGGTTTAGCGCTGAGTGAACAATCTAGACGTATATTTCTGCAATTGCACAATAAGTACAGATCAAGAGCCGCTAAAGGAGAGTATACCATTAAGAACAAATGGAGCAAAATGAAAGTATTACCTCCGGCAACGAGAATGCTTCAGTTTGTGAGTGTGTCCTTTATTTAGATACATACTTTCCGAGATCTACTGGGACTGTAAGGCTTTGGCCATACTTCGCCCGTGTTGCCGGTGTTGAAAGTGTTGAAAGGTTGAAAGTGTTGAAAGTGTTGCCAGTGTTGAAAGTGTTGAAAGTGTTGCCGGTGTTGAAAGTGTTGAACGGAGATCATCAGTCTAGCAGTTTCATTCTTTCTCGAACGATCTCACCGGCTGGTGAATACGTTGGAAATGGAATTGGGGAATGAGAAATGAAACTGAAATGAGATGGGGAATGTTTTCGCATGCAAAAGATCCTCAAACAAACTTTTTGAAAAGTGGACGGCTTGTCTGGAATAGGAAAACGCTGCAAACCTCACTTAGGTCCTTTACTCACTAATCGCAAGCACGGCAGGATTCGAACTAAAACACGCATTACTACTCAAACTTCAGCTTTTTCAAATATTGGAGATTGCCTAATCCAGACAAGCCGTCCACTTTTCAAATAGTTTGTTTGAGGGTCTTTTGCATGCGAAAACATTCCCCATCTCATTTCAGTTTCATTTCTCATTCCCCAATTCCATTTCCAACGTATTCACCAGCCGTTGAGATCGTTCGAGAAAGAATGAAACTGCTAAACTGATGACCTCCGTTCAACACTTTCAACACCGGCAACACTTTCAACACTTTCAACACTTTCAACACTTTCAACACTTTCAACACTTTCAACACCGGCAACACTTTTAACACCGGCAACACTTTCAACACTTTCAACACTGGCAACACTTTCAACACTTTCAACACTTTCAACACTGGCAACACTTTCAACACTGTCAACACTTTCAACACTTTCAACACCGGCCACACTTTCAACACCGGCAACACGGGCAAAGTATGGCCAAAGCCTAAGAGCATCAGCTATAACATGAGATCAGTGCTAATGGTCTAGAAATAATGTAGTAAGAACAGAATAATAGCAGATTTCAGCAGCATCAACTGTTTTGGAATGCTGCAAGAAACTTCTTTATTTGAGTCATTTATTTCAGAAATATAATTGCTCGCTTGAGCGTTCGGCTTTGAAATATGCTTACATTGCTCAAGGAAAAATGATACATTCTCATTGGAAAGGACTCGGAGAAAATCTTTGGGCCATTTCAGTAAAAATTACTCATGAACGTGCTGCTGAGGTTTGCGTAACATAAGGCCTACAAAGACCTTCTGAATGCAAATTTTAGAGGGCTACAAAATCATGGGGTGATGAGATAACGAACCATGGTATGGGAAAATTGAGTGACAGTAATCAGAAAATTGGTCATGCTACGCAGGTAGACACTCTAAATTACACTAAATTTTCTTGACAGTGCTTTTTCCCATTTGTAAAAAAGCTTTTTGCAGATTTTGTGGCACAGTACAAGATCAGTAGGATGTGGCATTATATATGCTAAAAGTGGATGGACATCGGTTGTATGCCATTATTACCCTCAGTAAGTAAATCCAAACACAACGTATTCTTTCTCAAATAATTGACCATCGACTATTTTATAGAGGAAATTTTCTGTACACGAATATGTACCGCGCTGGTGAAACTTTATCAGATTGCGGTAAGGAAGGCAGAAGTGAGGTGCCACACAGTAGGACAGGATTATGTGAATTGTTTTAACAGTTAATTGTATACAAATAAACAACAAAATAGTAAACATTTAAATAAACTTGTTGTCGGAAATTCACTACTTTCGAAAGAGCATAGTTTAGCGTAAGCCATAAAACTCTAAGAATATTATTGTGTAAGTTCAAGATTCATAAATAGGTGTTTTCACATCTTGAAAGTACTTTCTACAATGGTTTGGTATTTTGTTTGGCTCAACAAGAAAAACGAGCATCGTAACAATCAGATTTCGAAGCTGATGAAGAGGAACCAAAAAATGATTACATTTAGTTAGGTGGGGGGTCTTAACTCCGAAAAAGCCAGTGAGAAGCTGTACCTTCGCTCATTCGACGTGAAAAACTTGTAGCAAGGGTAAAAGTCTGCTCAACCACGGTAACAGTGGCAACACCGGCAATAGCGTAACGCTATCAACACTGGTAAAGTGATATAGTAACTTTTGTGCGAAATCTAAAAGTATTTAATCTATTGGGCTAATGCGAAACTCATAAATTGTTTGAAGACAGCAATAATAGCACCCTCAGTTCCAAAATTTCAGCGTTTGCGGTCAAGTCATTCTCTTCCTTAATATGAAATTCTTCTTTATTTTTTGCTCATCATTCTCCTTCCTCTCCTCATCAACAAAATAACCATACTGGCGTTTTCTAAAAGGTTGAACTATAACCAATTTCCTCTTACCACATGTATTACCTTTAACGCTGTATCTGAGTCTATCGAAAGCCTTGGCCATACCTCGGGGGACTTAGTCGTGACGCGATTGGCAATACTCCAATTGTTCATAACTCATTGTGCGCGCATTCTAAATGTGCAGAGTAGGTCATTTGATTAATCTACGAAAGCTGGAACTATGCATTTGCAGTCTGCCAGCGGTGGATTTGAAAACATCTGGTAAATTGCCAGATTGCGTTGTGACTGAAATCGCGTGAGGTGTGGCCTAGGCCATAGGATATATTCTGAATATTCTGAAGGCAACAGTGACAAGGAAATGGCCAAAAATCGAAGTGGCCAGTCCAAACAAGCTGCAAACCAATAGATGCAGCATAAAACTGACTTCAGTCTGTATTCCTCTGTTTAGCGCCTATGTGGGCGAGGTTATGAGCCTTAAAGCCGCACTTTGCTGAAAAATCGTAACAGCAGTTACAAGAATCGTAATTTAAAATCTCATGTAAAGCCCAAATTTGGCAGTACAGAGCCACGTTCGGCTTAATGCTGGGCCAAAACATGTAGCTAACAAGGAGAGGATACTTAGTCAAAAGCACCAATCCAGATGAGACACATATCATCTTAAAGCGCTTGAAACGCTGATTCCAAATCTGCAGTTTTTAGCTGCGGAGCGGTTTTGTAGAAGGGGTTATGAAGAGTGTTCCCCTCTGGGGTTTAGGCGCCCTCCAGCGGTCTCCCCTTATCTGTAAGCACTGTAGAGGAGTATCAGCTGATGGCAACTGACCTAATGGTAAGTAAATTGAACGAAGATCACAGTAAAGATTATAATACTCACCAGTGCGTTACCTCTGCTTCGCAGAGGCTCGCACTGGCTCTTCTATCTATATGTCATAGTACCCCTTCCCGCATAACATGTCATTGAAACATACCGCGCAAACGCCTACACGAATGATTCGTAAAGAACTACTCATTTCTTAAGCTTTTTCGTGTGAGATCGGTATTTTGCGTGGATGAAACTCTGGAAAATGAAGAACAAATGCAAATTTGAACAGGTTTTGAAACTTTTTTTGGCTTGGTAGTCGCCGTAAGAACAATAGTTATCGTGAGCTACATCTCTATGCAAAAATCTTCTCAAATGCTCAGGTAAAACCACGGCGGATTGACCATTTACGCGACCATTTCTTTTTGGCGTCGTTTTCGTAAAGTAGCAAACTTTTGGTCACTTTTTGGTCTAAAGTCCCTTACACATCAACCTGCTAAACATATCCACGGCTTTGCAAAAAGCGTTGATACGGACCCAATTTTGCGGGCCAGAAGCCAAGTGGATCCGTTTGGCGCGCAAATTCTGAGGGACCCACTCAACGAATCCGTTCGTGCTTTTGCATGCTGAAGTTCTACCTTGGTAGCATGCGCTATGTAAAGTTTGGGCTCGGGATGGTGGCTGGATCCCGCTGTATGAATTTCGTTACAGACAGACAGACACACACACACACAAAGTCACGTAAACACCCTTAGCCCGTTATTATAAGTTATGATATTACCTTGGTTTTTTAACACTTCTAACTTCGATTAATATCAGTATCATCAGAAGTTTCATGCTTTAGGGCTCTAAAGCCATTTAGAAGTTCAATTTAGCATGCGAAGGGGATTAAAACCTTGACACTCTTTTTATCAAGCACGTCACTTACCACTAGGTCAGTCACCACCAGTCGATATACTCCTCTACAGTGCTTATAGGTAGGGGGAGACCTGGTGGAGGGCGCCTCAACTCCAGAGGAAACACCCCCTTATAACTCCCTCTACAAAACCGCTCAGCTAGAAACTGCAGATCTGGAATCAGCGTTTTAGCGCTTTAAGATGATACCAGTGCTTCACCTCTGCTTCGCAGAGGTTCGCACTGGCCGTTATGAACCGTGGTAAACTCACTTTCTGAGAGCTTGTCTCTCAAGTCATGTTCGGTTGACTGCAACGTGAGAGCCTTAGTCAAAATGAACCATACCACTATCTTAACCTCACATGCTGTTTGGTATTGTAAATCATTCCTCACTGTAATTTCGTAACGGACAAACTCCACACAACTTCAGATTAAGCCGCTTATTATAAGTCATGATATGTCTCATCTGGATTGGCGCTTTCGACTAAGTATCCTTTCCTTGTAAGTCACTTTATATTCTTAAAGCCTAAAGGTGAGCTAGTGCAACATGTTGTATCGCAGTTTTTATGTACTTTCCGCAATAAAACGCTTATAACTTCGTCCAGAAATGCGCTAAGCAGATATGGGATACAGATTCAAAACCAGCGCTGAATGCTGCATCGGAAAGACAGCTTGCTTGGATTGGTCACCTCGATTTCTGACTATTACCTTGTGAGATTTTAGAACATCTTGGCAAAAGAACCAATGCGATACAGTCATGTAGAAAATAGTGGCCCTTTGATCAAAAATCTTTGATTTATATAAGTCTCTTCAGAAGGTCAGTTTACATTACGGTCTTCTCTTGTAAGTAAGAGACTGATACTGATAGTCGATGCCACAAGTAACATAGCGCCAAGAGTGCTGGCACGCGCAAATTCAGCGCAGACTATGAGTCATGACCTATCCCTTGTATTTTTGTAGCCGTTCTGCAAGAAACTTAGCACCTTTTGCAAAGCCAAATTTACATCGAAAAAAATTGAAAAGAAGATAAATGTCGAAACAGCAAGAAATTGCGATTTTTACGGCTAAATATTCCAGAGCTATCTTCCGGCTAATATTATAGCTATCCCAGACAATTGTCTTGTACATTATGAATTGTACTCGAATTCACCAAAAAACTCTGTATACACGAGCCTATTATCGGGTCTGTTGAACTTTCAAAGAATCACTGCAAATATTGTAAAAGGAGGTGAAAACTGCTGGCCAAGCTGTAAGGCTGGATTTGTTATGCTTCGCGTGGCAGGGTCTCTATTCCTGCCATAGTCTATATCGTTCAGCCTTAACCCATTATCATAAATTCTCACTTTACAATTCCCGCTAAATGACCGGAGAAAGCCACCACGCCGGTATAATGTTGCGAATTTGGTCTTTTTATGTTACGGACTAGCACACACCATAAACAACTAGTTGGAACTTAGCCATGCCAAAATGCCGCCATTATGTCTGAGTTTACACCGTCCCCCAACAACCATTTATTCCCACGCAGAGAACACACACGTACATACTACATAAATCACTGCCCTCTAGGAGATTGCGCAATTGACAAGATCAATCCAGATAGTGAAATTTGCGAATGACACACCAGTGGAAGTGAAAGGATCACCAATAAGAACAAAGAAGTCACGAAGGTAGCTGGTGGGCCTCCAAGGAGGAGGCCTAAGAGGAGAGGTAAGGAAATATGGAGTAACAGTTAAAGACGAAACTGTACGATAGCACACACACATATAACAAATTCTCTAGTGCTTATATAGTGCTTTACAGACCAGGCGCTACAAGTTCTTCCACTTCTTCTTCTCCAAATTTTCAGACTGTCGTCTACCGTTAATTCTTTAACAAAGGCATGAGTAACCTCTAGAAGCCACTTCTTCCTTCCGGTCCCATTGTTACTACGCCTTCTAAGAAGCAGTTAGTTTTTCCTCCATTACACTCACGCACATGATCGAGGCTTCCAAGTACCAAAAGCATTTCGTGCGTAATCGAAAGTTACCTTACATCCGCGGGGTTTAAAAGGTTGCGTCCCGCAACCTCCATCCTTTTCATCAATAGGATATGTTGACTCCAAAAGTATCGATTGAGGAGTTCCTGAACATTTGTCTCCGGCCTTGTCTTCCCTCGGCTATTTTCTTTCGCGAACATCGTACATCCATTTTCTATTTGCGCGCGCATTCGTGTCATCTGATATCTCCATCTATAACCACACAGCATCTTGTGCGGACTCGCGTCGCGAGGTCAAATGGAATGGTTGCGCAGCCGGGTATCTTCGACGCGATTCTTCTTCTTCAACTTCAAATTCAAGTGCCATTTGCCTCCTGTGGGTTTCCTTAACATCCGCACTCATGGGTAAATCGCGCAACCATTTTCTTGTTGACCGCGGTTTTCGTATTTCCATAACTTTTGCCGGCCGTTCTCTGGAAGATAATGTAGAATCTATCAAAAAAAAACTGTCGTCTATGTAACTAAGGATCCGATAGTCGCGTTTGTTCCTTGTTAATGCCAAGAAATTCTTGTCATGGACGTCTTCATGGCAAGTGAGTTGGGGAAGCTGCCGTTTGTTCTCAATTTCCATGCCTTACTCGAAGCCAGATAGAGGTTTATATTTTATTGACTTAAGTTTCGTATCATACATATGTCCTGAATGAACTCCTTGATCGATAGCGCATCGTAGAGGGAATCTGCGAAAAGAAAATGCAGCTACAATAAAATTTATCAAGAGTAAAGATGATTACATGGTTATACAAACACGACAAATTATCACAAAAAAGATTTAATGGTTGTTAGGGTTTTTTCTTTTCCTTATTTTCCTCTTTTCTTCCTTATTTGGTACTTCTTCGATATTGTCCACATCTCTACGTAGTTTGGTACGGTCGACATGGATGACTCTTTTGCGTTTTCCATCAAGAATGGTAATGTTAGGTGGTTCGATGTCGATAATTGGAAAAGGTCTTTCGAATTTTGCTGCAAGTTTGTGCACACCGTCCTTCCTTATCCAAACCTTCTTCCCAATCTGATACTCCGTTTTCAGCGGCTTCTTCCTCAAGTCGTAATGATGTTTTTGTCGTTTCTGGGCTTCTACGAGGTTTTCATAGACCTGCTGGTAGATGATTTTCAAGGTATTGGTAAGATAGTTTACGTAGTCTTCGGGATCGGCATACTTCTTCGTTGGCAGCTGCAATGCAAGGTGAAAGATATTAGTAGGTTCTCGTCCGTGAATAAGTAAGAAGGGTAAAAATTTCGTCGACGCATTCTCCGCGCTATTACAGGCATGTACTATGAGTTGGAGAGCGTGGTCCCATTCATCATTACGTTGGCGAGTAGCTATTGCAATTTGTTCCTCCAGTGTCCGATTGACGCGTTCGACCTGTCCATTTGATTGATGGTGATACGGTGCACTCGTGTGGTGGTGACATGTGGGCTGTGCAAAAGGCTGCGAAACATTTCATTCATGTAGTTTGTTCCTTGGTCCGTCACAAGAGTTTCCGGTAATCCAAATCTGGCTACGAAGCGAACAATAAATATGCGAGCTGTAGTGTCGGCCTTCTGGTCAGGTATTGGTTCCGCTACTATGTACTTGGAGAACGAGTCTATAAAAACAATTATATACTTATTCCCATCCAACGTGAGCGTCAGAGGGCCGATTATATCCGAGTGTAGTCGTTGCCATGGTCTCGTGGATACTTCCAGGAAGTGGAGTGGTTCTCTGGTCTTATAAGCGTAGGATCCTTCCTTGCTTGGCAGAATTGGCATGCGCCAATGAATCGTGCGATATCCTTACGCATGCATTTCCAGATAGCAATTTTCTCCACGGCTGCATGTGTCTTGTTGATTCCCAAGTGTGCTGACGCCATTTGTGATTGATGTGCCAAAGCAATAATGTCTTGTTTGACGCGGGATGTTTCTGGTAATACTAGCTGTGGATCTTGATAGAGGCGATTTGGTAACCTATAGAGGATGTTATTTATAAGGAGGTAGTTAAATGATTCCATCGTCTCCTCGTTGTTTGTTAGCATTGCCTTCAATCTTGCAATCCATTCACACTCGTCTTGCTCCTTACGTACGGCATCCAACTGAAGATTATCCATGGTGACATTCGTAACGGCATTCATTGGTAGATATCGAGATAGCGCATCACAAATAGCGTTCTTCTTCCCAGGCCGATATATGATGGTAACGTCGAACTCCTGAAGCACGATTTGATACTTAGCTAACCTTCCGGTAAGATCCTTCCGATGCAACAGCGCTTTGAGAGGTGCATGATCCGTGATGATCGTGCACTTCGCTCCGTCGATATATGGTCGGAACTTTTGTACTGCGAAGACTAATCCTAATGCTTCAAGCTCAATTGCTGGTTATCTTGCTTCGTGTTTGCTTAAAGTACGGCTCGCGTAGGCGATAGCTCGCTCTAGACCTTCCTGTTCTTGTTTAAGAACTTCCGCAATGCCTTTTGCCGAAATATCTGTTTCTATGATGAAAGGCTTCCCCAGTCGTGGTGCTGCAAGAATGGGTGCAGATGTCAGTGCTTTCTTCAAGCGATTCATAGCGTCCTCGCACTGCAGTGTCCACTCAAAAGAGGTATTGTTCTTCGTCAATGCAATGAGTGGTGCTGCAATGGCTGCGAAGTTGTGCACAAATCTCCGGAAAAACGAACACATCCCCAAAAAGGATTTGACGTCTGTTGGATTAATTGGCTGCGAATAGTCGTCGATGGCTTTGGTTTTATCCGGGTTGGGCCTTATTCCTTCTTTGCTCAGGATAAATCCCAGAAACTTGATCTCTTCCTTTGCAAATTTACATTTCGACGCCTTCAGCTTCATGCCAATTATCTCGATCTTTCCCAGTACTTCATCGATATTCGCCAAATGTTCTTCTGGGGTTTCAGAGGTTATGATAAGATCGTCGATATAAATGAAGACTCTTGCTCTTATATACTTCTTGAAGTCATCCATTATCCTCTGGAACGTTGCTGGTGCTCCTTTGAGTCCCATTGGCATCCGGATGTACTCAAATGCTCCCAGGAAACATGCGAATGCAGTTCTCTCACAGTGTTCCTCTTCCAGTGGTATCTGATGAAAGCCTTGCTGGAGATCAAGGGACGAATAAAAGCACTGGTTAGCACATAAATCGATAATGTCCTGAATATTCTGCAGAATTGATTGCTGTGGCTTCCTAATAGCATTGAGTCCCCGAAAATCGATGGTGAATCTCTAGGCATTTGCTTGTCGTTTCTTCACCAAAACAATTGAAGCACAAAATGGTGATGATGATTCCCTAATTATACCGTCTTTCAACATCTGCGTTATCTGCTTCTCGATCTCTTGTCGTTTTTCGAGAGGCACGCGATAGATCTTCCTTGCTGGTATGGCGGCGTTCTCGATAAGATCAATTCAGTGCCGTATCTTTCCTCTATAATGTCCGAGATGTCCATCCGGTCCTACGAAAACGTTGGTTGACATCTGATGATGTCTCGTAGTCGGTCTTTCTGATCATCTGTTAAGCTCGATTGCGACAAGTCGATTTCCTTGGTGATATCATAATCAGGAGGTTGGTGTACTAGGGAGTCTAGGCAATCTGGACTCCCAATCTGCTTTTGGCGAAATATGCTCGTAGCCACCATACTCGTTCAAAGGCAGTTCATTGACGTATGCAACGGTGGCAGCGACTGGCTGATGGGTGTTTTCTTCTGATGACTTCATCGGATGTTGGACTTGGCATTCCAGCGGTCGAACTAACACTTCCGATTCACACGCTGGGTGTGCCTAGGCCACTTTAAGTTGCCTGGGAAGTAAGATCTCAGTCATAGAAGGGTTAAGAATATTGATATAGCAAACTCCGTCTGAGCCTGGTGTAACAAGGGCTCGTCCAATGACAAAAATATCGTCCATAAATCGGAGATCATCCTCAATGTAGAAATCCTTGCATCTGAGCCATGTTAGTCCTTCGATGTAGGCTTCCACGACATCACTGGTTCGTGGAGGTAAAAATGTGTCCTTAGCGAGTCGCACAGCGTATGATGGTATGACGGCCAATGTGATATAGCTAAGTGGTACGAGATTGATTGTCTCCGGACCTATGCGTATAATATTGTTATAGAGGTCAAGGGAGACCAGGAGCCCGTTTGCATTCAATGCTTGAATGAAATCGGATCCTAGCAGAAGTGGAGATGGGCAGTCCCTCTCGTCTGATACATAAAAACAATGCATGATAGTATGTGTTCCTACTCGAACGGCAAGGAAAGTGAGCCCACTAGTTGTATCGTGGTGCCATTTGCAGTTGCCGCCATCTTTGATGTTCTCATAAGCCGCTCCAAATCTCCTATCATTGATAATGTAGACATCCTCATGTACGATATGGCTGCACCGCTATCCAATAGTGCCGTCACAGAATTGTTTCCGATCTTGACTTCCAAATAGGGTAGATGTAACTTTAGTGATTCCACCTCGATTGCATAAATGCGTGTTACGAAAAGTTGCTCCTGTTCGTCCTCTTCCTGTGGTAGTTCTACCATCAGCATATTTACCGCACGTGGTCTTCGATTTTTCCGTTTAGGGGTGAAATTCTTTGCCATAGTGAACATGGCTGATGCGGCAGTCAGTGTTGCCCGTCTGAGGAAGAAGAGCTTTGCATAAATTACGCAAGCTGCTACGCAAAGGAAGATAACCGTAGGTGGTATGGCAATCCATAGTATCGTATACAAAATCGACCATTTGATATCTTCCACGCCTTCCGATAGCTTTTGCGTTGTCGACTCATAAAGCGACAGCAAGGACTGACCTACGGACATACTGGTATTACGTATCCGTGAAACGGTTTCCTCGATGATTCCTCGCTTCTGGAGTCGTACAGCCATACTCACTATTCCTCCTTCAACACTTCCATGTGCGAAATAGGTGATAGCGCGTAATTGTCGAGGATGCGGTAAAACCCGCAAAACCCTTCCCCCTCGATATTCCACCTCACGTAGGTGGACTATCGAGGAGGAAGGGTTTTGCGTGATTGTTGACGACGGTGTTTGAAAGTAAGAGACTTCGCGTCATGTTGGCGCGTTTAAGAGATGGATAAGGACATGGAACCGTACCGGAAGATTGTATTAAATCCTGTGTTCCGGGTACATTGAACCAAAGGTCGTTATTGATCCTTACTGGCATCAACGTGTAGCATATTCCATCGATCGTGTGGTTGACATACATAGATGTTGGTGTGACCTGACGACATTTTGTGATCAACAGATTATCAGCACTCCGGATAGCAGCGATATCACTTCTTCCTAATAGGATTCTGGCGGCCCATGTGGAATCCACTGAGCTCAAAAGACGTATCCTTTGTGATTCCAAGAATCTTCTTAGAAGAGAGCGTAGATGTTACTGAAGTGACGTCGTGCCGGCAAAATTCCTTGTTTGGACATTTTCTGTTGCCGGGGGTTGTGTAGGCACAGAGAATGTTGGAGGGATTATGGTGAAGATTGTAGTTTCCGCTGTTGTAGAAACTTCACGGTACTCCCTTGTCGTCGTTTGTAATATTGGCGATAAGACGGCGCTCATCAAGAACAGTCCAAACAAGAGGTACAAATCTTGTAGTTCTCATCAGTATTTCTTGTGGTTTGGGTGTTGGTGTTCGAGTTTGCGGTTGTATTGTTGTAGCAGCGGGAGATGTCGTAGGGAGTGCACTTGATGATCCAAGGTATATTGGTTGTAGTGTAGGCAAAGGTGTATGGTAGTACACCTCCATTTCTGTCGTCGTTACTGGTTGAGACGTTGTAACCACCATGGTGGGTATAGTTGATAATATAAAAGAAGTTCCTTGCGTAGAAGGCATCATTGTCGGACTGTCGGTTACTATTGAGGTTCTCATTGTTGTTGTTGTCATCATTGTTGGCGTACTCATCGACGTTGTCAAAAGTGCCGTTGTTGACGTCGAAAGTGTTGTTATAGGTAAAGTTGTCGGTGTCGTCATTGATATCGTTGTCGTTGGTGGTGTCACTGATGGTAACGCTGTCGATGTCCTTGTTAGTGCGGGCGTTGTGAAGTTCTTCATTTGCATGCCAGCTATGGTAGGTATTACGGTTGTCCTTTACGTGTCTCCTTCCGTCGTCATTGTCGTCGTCACTAGCTTAAACTCTTCATTAAGGTACTCATCGAAGATTGTGGAGATCCCAAGTTCCAAATCTCGTCGAGTTTCGAGTTGTGCGTAGTTGAGTGGCACAACTTCCTCAGATTGTTTTAATAAGCGTAGTTGCTTCACGCGATATTCACCATACCCGATGGTCCGTAGTACAATGTGACGCGGGTCGTCCATTTTGTAGAGTCATGCTGTTCTTGAAAGGTCCTTATTACTGATATTCCATCGTTGCATTTCCGAGAGTATCCTGTTCCACGTTATTGGGCGTGTATTAAAAGGTGGAATCCTTTTGAGTTTCCTTACTCCAAATAGTCGTTTGATCAGCAGAACTGGTTCCGCTGCCACAATCTCGACGGGGTAGGTATTTCCTTGTTTATCCGTGTGGTACCGAATGGCACGCTTTACTCTTCTCCTTCTACAAGCGACGCGTAGAACATAATCTTGGATTGTAAGGTCCTGGGGAATATAGGGAAAATAATGATGTGGTTCGATGTCGTCAAGTAGTTGTTGCCTAGTCGGCAAAATTCGGTGAGCTGGTTGTGTAGAAGAGTATCTTCGGAGAACTGGAAGATAAGGTCTGGGTGAGGTAGGACGATGTACTTCAGAGTAACAAACGCTTCGAAGATTCCAACATTTCTTTATCTGCATGACGGTGTGATTTCGACTGGCTCCCAAACAATTGTGTATTCCCGCGAGAGACAAACTCCTTGTGAGTATGAACAGTTTGTCGTATCGCCCAAGGAGCTAATTATGTAGTATCCATCGGAGGTGGCAATTTGTCCTTCTTCGAGCGAGTATACACTACGTAAGTAGTTCCTCGTACCCCATAATGGTACTGTCACGTCGTCATCTTCTATTTCGTTGGTGATCCATAGTCCATCGGCTTGTGGAATCAACTCATGCCCATGTATCTTCCCAGTTATGCGAGCCATTTCACAGGCTTTCTGCGGTATCGATAGTCGACGGCGTCGCAAGATGGTTGTAGTTGTTCGAATACGGAAGAAACTGCTTGCAGATACTTCGATGGCGTCCCTGTAGCATTTGGTAGCATTTGCCAGGATGGATTAGGATTATCAGCGAATAAAAATGCTGTAGTCCGCAGCATTGGGGCGTTGAGCAATCGATAGCTTTCGGAAGTGAGAAGATATTCGAATAAGGATTTATAGCACATATATGGTACTCCGCATTCGCAAGAGTACTGCAGATCAATGTTATGATGCAAAGAAGATGTACTCCTGGAGTAGTACTCATGGCTCTTACAGAACTAGTAGTTGTACAGATGTTGGGTTCCCATATGCAAGAGGGGCATTCTGTGTATAGCATGGGGGTGTACCACAAGTACACGTCCTCATCCTTGGTCCCTATCCATTATACATCGTAGTTGTATTCGTGTATGGTGTGCGGTTTGTAAACGGGAATGAATGTTGACGGAAGAAGGGACGTCTGGGATAAAATCTACGCTGGTTGGTGAAAGATCTTGGCGCAAATCTCGTCGTTCTTTGTCCTTGCCTGTACTTGTTCTGCGGGATATTTGGTTTCCTTGGTGGGGCCGCTTCCATCTGGCTTAACTCTTGTTCGAGACGGTTGATCTCTTCATCAGTGAGGAGTGCATTAACCGCTTGAAGAGTCTCCCTGTCTTCATTTCTCTCTTGTTCCAAAATCCGGTGTTCCTTCTCCGCTCTGCATACTATGGCCTCAAATTCGTTCGTATCGGGGAGTCTTCAAAACGTCTGCCTAATCTCCGGGTTCAGACCTTTAATAAAAAAGTCATTAGCCATACGTGTCAAGACGTTCTCTAGTTGGCCTTGGAATGCGATTTTTGTCTTGTTGTAGATCTTCTTCGCGAACTCTCCAACGGTATCTTTCCCTTGAGTCA